AAATACCTGAGTAGACTAAGCACCTGCCTAGGCAAGCACAGGGACTGGGGTTTGATCCATCAGCACATGCCACACCAGTGCGGACCCCGGGCACACTGAGCCAGCCATGGAGACAGCGTGGTGGCACATGCCTGTAATCCCAGTGCTGGGGAGGCTGAAAACAGAAGGATCACTCTGAGTCCAAGCTGCGCAGTGAGACCCTGTACCAAATACATTTTTCAAAAACTTGGACTCCAGAGGCAGCGAAGCAGGCTTCAATCCCAGCTCCCCCAGCAGTGCTGCGGGCCCAGCCAGGCGCAGCCGGGTGTGCAGTCTGTGCCACATCTGAGCCCCTTGAGCCCTCCTCCCTGGCGTCTCTCCATGTAGCTCTGGAAAGTTCTTTGGTGGCTGTCTCTCCCCCAGCTCTGTGGTGTGAGTCTGTCTACAGCCTGAAAGGCCTGGGCCCTGATCCACGAGCTGGTCCTGCTGGTTCTGAGAACACAGGCTTATTAGAGCTGTTAGCGAAGTGTGAAACAGTTCACATTCTTACCTCCTACACGAGAGACACAGGAGCCTATAAATCTGGCTCCGGGTCTGGCTCTCAGCCTGGACGCCGCCCCTAGGAAGCCATGAGATTAGCAGTGGCAAATCTGTGCACACTTACTGGGCCACACAGGGAGCCTGGCGGAGTGGGACCCTGAGGACCTTGGCCTGTGAGGACAGCCCCGAGCACAGAGAGCCCCCGGTCTGCATGCGCCCACTCCATTCTCTGTGAGCATGTGCTTTTCTACTCTGCCCAACAAGCCTGCTTATGTAGGACCGCTGTCATCCCAGCACCCTGGAAGGCTGAGGCAGGAGGAGGCAGGTTCAAGTCTAGCATGGGCAGACTTAGCAAGACCCTGTCACAGCATGAAAACTGGAAAGGGCTGAGCATGTAATTTGGTACAAAGGCCCTGGGTTCCATACCCACTACCTCAAAGAAAATAGGAATAACCCTTTTATTCCAGGTTTTGAGCTGAGCACAGTGGCACAGGCCTACAATTGCAGCACTCAGGAGACGGAGGCAGGAGGGTCACAGCAACTTTGAGGCCAGCCTGGACTATACAGTGAGTCCAAGGCCTGCCTGAACTATATAGCGAGACACTTTCTCAAAAAATATTTAAAGGGGCCAGGGAGATAGCTCAGTAGAATAAACGCTTCCCTGGCAAGTGCAAGGGCCTGAGTTCAATCCCCGGTTCTGAAAAAAAAGGTGGGGGGGGCTGGGCATATAGCTTAATGGTACTGCACCTGCTGGGCAAGCACAAGGTCATGAGTTCGATTTCTAGCACAAAAAAAAAAAAAAGTCACTGCAGTCCCCGCCAGGGAGGCAGCACCTCTCAGGGGAATGGGGTTCCACAAGCCCAGCTTTGCAGCAGGCTCTGCCTCTCATGGTGGCCCCAGGGTCAGGCCAGCCCATCATTGCCTAGCTGGTCACAAATGCCAGAAACAGCCTCTGTGTGGCCCCAGCTGTGGCCAGCGAACTACTGCAAAAGGCCCTCACAAAAACAGCAGAAACAGTTCCCTTCTGCTGTCACAGCCAGCAGCCCAGCAGTCTGGCTCATGTCCCACAGGACACTGTGCTCCCCCCCCCCCCCAGGCCACAGGGACCTGTGTCCTTGACACTCCCGCCCCTCTGTGCCTCTCGCCATCCGGTCCACCCCGCTGCCCCAGAAGGTGGCCTGCACATCCACGGAGCACCTACCAGGGGACGACCAAATCTATCACTGCCACCCAACAGGCTTGGGAAGCTTGCGGGCAGGGCCCTCGTCACCCCGGGGCTAGGGTCGGGCCCCAGAGAGAACCTCAGGCCGGCCAGCCTCGGGTTGCTGCCCCCCTACATTCCCCCTAGTGGCGGCCGGAGTCCCTCGGTGGGGGGAGGTGCTGAGTCACCCTGGAGGGCCCTGAACACAAAGTCCAGTTCCTGCCCCTGTCCACTCTCAACTTCGCAGCCTGCTTCCCGGGCTAGGGGCTGGACCAGCGATGCTCGTGACCTCTGCCTTGTAGACAGAAATGAAGTGAGCCCAGGAAGGGTCAGGAAGGAGGAGGGCGGCTCCGCGCAGCCCCAGCCGCTGTCCCTGCGCGGCCTGGCCTGCACCCAGCGCACAGCTGCAAACGCGGGAGAGCAGGAATGCCGGGCACATCTTCCTCTAGGAACCTGAAACTGAAAGCCTAACCTCGCCGGGCTGGGGCCACCCGCTGTGGTTTTGGGACTTGTGATTGGCCAGGAAGCCCCCTGTGATAATTGAGGCGGCCTGCGATTGGCCGGAAGTCCCCTATGTTAATGAAGGCGCAGTCTCTAGTGTGGTCTGCGACTCTTTGAGGTCCCTGCCCCCTCCGCCCCGCTCCTCATGCCTGCCTCCCTTTACCACTACTTGCCGGTGCCCATGGACGAGGCGTGGAAGGAGAAGGACCGCAGCAGCCTCAGGCTCTGGCTCCAGGGCAGGAGGACATGGGTGCTGGTGATCCTGGTGATCCTGGTGATCCTGTCCATGGCAGTGCCCCTGGGCCACTTTGCCGTGCAAGCCAACAGTGAAGCCTGCCAGCACGGCCTCCGAGAAGAGAAGCAGTGGCGCAACACCACCCAGCACCTGCGGGACCAGCTGGCCCGAGCCCAGGAGGCCCTGCTGGACGCCGATGCCACCTGCAATAGCACCGTGGTAAGCCGCCCAACTCCTGCGGAGAGCTCAGAGCTTGGTGGGGGCCCGGAAACCCTCCACAGAAAACTCTACAGGGTGGAGATGGGGTGGCCTTGAAACTGACCCTAGGCCCCTACATCCCAAGGGCCTGGTTTACCTGCCTGAGAGTTTGGGGACATCTAAGTTCTCCCAGAACCCTGATGTGGGCGAGGTCCTAAAACTCAGGGCAACACCCACTTCGCAGCCTCGGTAACCCCTGCCGCCCTCCTTCCAGGCACTGGTATGGGGGAGCTGAAAACTCCCAGTGGACCTCCAACTGGGCCCAGACATCTGAGGGCCCCCACCCCATGCTCTGGGCTGGATCTTTTTGAGAATCACACAGAGGATCTGGAAATTTCTAGGAGGGTTTGGGGAGGAGAACCAAGCCCCCCGTTTCAGTGGCCACAGGCCTACTGGGGCCCCCGGGTGGGCCATGCTGTGGGGTTGAAAGCCAGGCGCAGAAAGGGTGGAAGGGCGACGTGAGGAGGCTTGGCTTGAAGCGCCTCTGAGGACGGCGGGGCATGGGGCCTAGGACAGCGGTCAACACCCGCCCACCAGGGCTAGAACCGCCTGCGTGTTTTTATTTTGAGACAGGGTTCCCGCTCTGCAGTTCAGGCTGGCCTTGACTCTCTCTGGAACCCAGGCTGGCCTCGAACTCGTGCGATCCCCCTGCCTCAGCCTGCGGAGTGCTGGGATGACAGGCGTGCACTAACCTGCTTTTGGTCCTTGGCTCTGTCCCAGGAAAACTTGACTGCGTCCCTGAGCCAGATGAAAACTCTGCAGCAGAAGCAACAGGAGCAAGTGCAGAGCCTGCAGAGTGAGCAGGCCACAAGCGTAGGGGCGGGGAGGGGTCTGGGGGACCGCAGGCGGCCGGCCGCCCGCCGGGAGGGGAGCCGGGAGGGGAGCGGCTGGGTCGGGAGGCAGGCGACCGGCGCTCTCTGTCCCCTAGGCGAGATCACGCTTTTGAAGCAGCAGCTGCAGGAGGCCAGTGAGACAGAGAAGCGGCTCAGGTTAGAGACGCCCCCGCCTCGCTCTGCCTCCCTCCCCGGAGCCCCGGCCAGCACCTGCCCCGCTGCGAGGGTACGCCGGGGTCCGGAGAGCCCCCGCTCGCCCGCCGCGAGGGTGGGTAGGGGGCCAGCCTGGCCGGAGGCTGCCTGAGCGGTCCCCATCCGCACCCCAGGAATGAGATCAACGCCATCCGCCAACGTAATCCCCAAAACGCGGCCAGCAGCAGGGCCATCTTCATCGGCCCGGCGTCCGCGACGCTTCTGCTCCTGGTCCCCGCTGCGCTGTGCTTCTGAAGTCCCCGGAGCCCGCCGGTGAGGAGGGGCGGTCGACGCGGGCGCCTGGGCGCTGGTGCGCTCTGCGCGGGAGCGGGCTGCGGAAGGTGGGGTTCGGAACGCCTCGGTAGGCTCTGAGCCCCTACTAACCTGTTTCACAGGCTTTTAAAGTGTCGTTCACTTTCTTTGCATTTTTTTATTTTTTCCGCACATTTTAGGTATACACAGTGATAACAGTCCTCCCAGAGTTAGTACATGATCTGTCTCGATTTTTTCCCTTCCCCTCCCTTCAACTCTTCCCTCCTTATTTATAAAAATTTCCATTTTTCCTTCTATTGCTTTTCCTTTTTTTTTTTTTTTGGATTTGTTTTGTACTTTAGTAAGGGTCCACAGGGTCTCACTATGTAGATCCAACTCGTAGTGATTCTCGTGTTCAGCCTCCCAAAGAGCTGGGATTAGCGGTGCCAGCCCTGTCTCAATGGCAGTCTCAGCCCAGCAGGACACACCCAGCCGCTGGTTTGTGTGGCTTTAATCCCATGAGCTATTTCGCAGGCCCTTTTTGCTTCTATTGTTTCTTGGCACTTCCTTTCCTCCTCCTTTCCTTGCACCCTGCCCACTTGAACTTTTTCCTGTTTCCCAGTATCATACATTTTGGTCTTTACACTTTCGGTTACTCACGCCAGAAACAATGTGGAACAATGTGGCATTACACATGTGCGTCTGATGTACTCCACAGAAGAGAATGGCCTCAAGGTGCACCCATTTAGCTAGAAAGTCTCCAGTTTATCCTTCTTTACAGCTGAGTAGTGCTCCACTGCATAAAACCACATCCTTCTTAATCTGTTTTAGGCCGCAGCCTGTGCTGATCGGGTTCCAGCCCCTTTCAGCTTCAATGTCTCCAATCCACAGTTCTTCAGGATGACTGGGCAATGCGGTTGGGGGCTAAGGGGAGGGACAGTCTGGGATGGGCATCATGGAGGGGAACCAGGTTGTGTCCCTCCTTGGGGGTGGGGTGGGGCCACCTCTTTCTCTTGCTGTCACGTCACAGTTGGGGGTCTCTTTCTTCTGGGGCCCTTCTGCTGTAAAACAATACACAGTTTTTAAGATAATCTTGCTCTCACGTTTTTGGAGTGTCACTATCACCCTGAGTTTGGGGGGCGGCCCCTGCAGGTGAGACTGGGAAACCCACTGTATCGCACTTTGACATCCTGCTACCCCGCGGGGTCTCCTGGCCACCACCCTGCCAGAAGCAGCCTCAGCACCTGGCAAGGCCTGCAGCCAGACCACATGCCGCACGCTGCCCCTGGCCCTAGTGAGAAAGCCCGCTGGGGAGGGCAACTGTCCTGCTACTCCCTGGCCCCTGCAGGAAGCACTGGGTTTGCCCCCCCCCCCCAACAGGGGGTTGAACTCAGGCCCTTGAGCTTGCCAGGAAGCACTTATTCCACTGAGCCATCTCCCCGGCCCCTAGGTTTGGGTTTAAACTACCAGCAGCAGCTGCCTTTCAGCCAAGCCTCCATCGGAATGTGCCCCTTGTCTGCACCACACCCCTCCAAGCTCTTATTCCTCCTGCAGTGCCCAACTCTGGGACCTCCTCTCCAGAAAAGCGCTTAAAGTGACCGCTCCCCTAGCCGTGTCCTGCTTCCTCCCAGCTGCAGTATCCTGCCTGTTATCTCTCTTCCTCGAAGTTCCCCTGGAATCCGTGTGCCTTCCTGTTCATGGCAAGGCAGGCTGGCGTACCAGGTCCCGGGTCTCAGCCATGTGCCTGGGTCCCACAGTGCCCAGGCCACACAGTCGATGGGCAAGAAGGGCCTGTTGCCCTGTTCTCTCGGGACCCCAAATCCAGCCCTGCTTCTGGCCAGCCCAGACCTCCCTGAGCACTGCCATGCCAGGAACATGTGGGTGGGTGGGGTGTGGCACAGTCCAGGTTGAGGGCTGCCTCGCAGCCTCTCAGTCACTGCCTAGGGGTGCCAAGTGGGGTGCAGAGGGCCTGGTCCAGGGAGCTGCCCACTGGGGCCTGCAAGGCCTGTCTGGCTCAGAGGGCTAGCTTGAGGGAAAGGTGTAGGACACCTAACCAGTGGGCCACAGGCCAACTGTGTCCCTGGCAGGTGTGCAATGCCTGCCACCGTGTGAGGTCCGGAGGGCGTGCCCATGACCAGGTGGGAGCTGAGTCTAGTCAGTACATCCTGTGTTGGGCCTGGAACTACACCTCCCCCATAGGAGCGTGTATTGCACTCCCCAGGTGGTGACAGCAGAAAAGGCCCTGAGAGTGGAGCCGGTCTCCACCCCAGGACTCTGGGAGGCTGAGGCAGGGGAATCATCAGTTCAGCCCAGCCTGGATGGCTTAGAGACGTAGTGAGACCCTACACCCAAATTTTAAAAATCTACAAATTGTAAAAAAGTATGTTTTTTCATAAACAAAATAGAATGCATTAAAAATAAAGGAGAGAAAAAAAATAAATTTTAAAAATCAGTAGGAAGCTGGGAACACAGCTCGGTGCAGAGGCCCTGAGTTCCACCCCAGCTCCACACGGATAAGCACAAGAAGCTTGCTACCAGCTGCCTCCCTGGGATGCGATCTTCAGGGCCCTCCTGCCGGTCCCTGGGCGTGGGGGCTGGAGATGTGGTAGTGACTAAGTCACCCCCAGCTCCGCGGAGGTCCGGCCAGGGGACGTCCCGCAGGGCCAGGGTTAGGCTTCCAGCTCGGCGCCCTTCCTCTGAAAGGAAGCAACCGGATTCCCTCGCTCCTCCCCCAACTCAGCCAGGCCCAACGAAGTCTCCAGACCCCGGCGCTGTCCCCCCACCCCACCTTCGGCCGGGCCCTGCTTTGAGGATGGGACAGGTCCACCCCAAGCATAGAAGGGCGAGCTATCTATGCGCGGCTCTGCTAACAACCTCCTTCCGGGCGCCCAGACCCCAAAGCTGAACCCACCCCAGGGTGAAGAAGAGGCTGAGGCGGCCGTGGAAGCGCACGCGTGCGATTCCAGTGCTCGGGAGGCTGAGGCAGCAGGACTGCCTCCCACGGCCCCAGCCCGGGCACGCCGGGTGAACAGGTGCTCGGCGATGTGCCGGGAGGCTGCGGATGTCTGTCGGGAAGGTGAGGTGACAGAAGGGGGCGAGGTGAGCCCGCAAGGAGGCTGGATTCAGTACCCTGGCAAAGAGAGGAGAAGGCTGGATGCAGCGGGCTCGTGCAGAGGGGCGGGGGCAGGAGGAGCAAGGAAGGAAGTCCACGCCATGCGGTGGGCGGGCGGGCGGGCGGGAGCTGGGACCCGCGGGTGTTGCTAGCTCGCGCGGTGCGCTCGCCCCCTGGCGTTTACCTGACTCAGGACGGAGCCCGCGACCCCTCCGCCTGCCAGCGCTCTGGGACCAACCTGGCTGCCCCACGCCCGGGGTGGGGACGGGTCACCCAGACCCCGCGGTGCTCTCGGGGGCTCTGTGCCTCGGTCCTGCGACTCTGTTCCGGGGCGGGGAAACTGAGGCTTGGCGGGCAGAGACGGAGGCTCCCAGGGCTCGAGCGCCCCCCACATCCCCCGGCCAGCGCGGGGGCGGGCCGGGCGTGGCCTCGCTGCGTACAGCTGCACTGGCGACCGCGGCGGCTGAGTGGAGCGCATGGCTGGGCCGGGGCCGGAGCCGGGGCGCGCGTGGAGGGCGTTCGCGCTGTGCGGGGCCGCCCTGTTCCTGGCGGCCGCTGCGGCCGGCGGGGCCCTGGTGGCCTGGAACCTGGCGGCCTCGACGGCCCGGGGCCAGCGCTGCCTGGAGCCGGTAGCCAATGCCACGACGCCGCCCCCAGACCCGGCGCCGGAGCTCGAAGAACTTCGGCGCCGGCTGGCTGAGGCCGCACAACGCGAGGAGATGCTGGCGGGGAGACTGAGGCAGGCGGAGAGCGATCGCCAGCAGCTGGAGCAGGCGCTGAAGGCTTCCGAGAGTCGCCAGGTAGGGGCAAGGTGAGGGTCGGGGGGTGCAGAGTCCCGCGGAGAGGGGCCCTCTTGCTGCTAAGGTCCCCCCTGCGCCTCGCCTGCACCATGACTTCCGTGACTCCTGCAATTCTCGGCATCTATGTTCCCATCAAAAAGGTCTCAGGCCGAGGATGTCACTCGGTGGCACAGCGCCTGCCTGGCAAGAGCAAGGGCCTGAGTTGGAGTCCTGCTACCAAAAAAAAAAAAAAAAAAAAAAGTCTCACTTGACTCCTTGCTCTGTGAATGGTGGCCAGAGTGATCTCAGCACTCACGAAGCTGAAGCAGGCAGGTCGTTGTGAGCTCCAGGCCAGCCTGAACTAATAGCGAGATTCGGTCTCAAACAAATAAACAAAGAATAAATAAATAGCAAATATGTATTTATATAAACGGTGGCTGAGGACAGCCCAGGACGCAGGGAGGCGCTGTGCTGACCCTGCGCCCACTTGCGCCCCAAGTAGGTTTCCAGCCGGCCGTACTATTTTGAGAGAAGACCGCTTGTGTCACCTGTAATTAGGAGACTAAAGCTGGCCTCTTGCGGAGGTACCAGCCGGCCCGCCCTTTTCCTCAGGAGCCTTAGTAACCATCCCTCGCCCAGAGCTGGCTGAAGAGCCATCCTCAAAGTCCAACCGCCCGCATTTACTCAGACACGGCGGTGGACGCTCAGGCTGGGAGTCCGGCTCGGTGGGAGGGCGCCACCCACGATTCCACACCCAGCCTGCGACCAATAAGTAAATACATAAAGAAAACCTAAGCCAGCTCCTGTAATCCCAGCCCTCAGGAGGCTGAGGCAGGAGGACAATTTAGCTAAATTGCTGTCTCAAGAGAACAAATAAGGGGGGGACGCGGCGCGAAGGCCCTGGGTTCCGTCCTGCTGACCGAGCCGCATGGCTCGGCTCCCGCGCCCTGCTGGAAGGGGAGCGGGCCCAGCATCTTGTGCCGCTGTCCCCGCAAGGGCGGACCCGGGTCACGCCCTCCCGCCCCGCAGAGCCGGCTGCAGAAGGAGCTGAAGGCGCTGGAAACGGAGAGGGACCAGGCCAGAGCACAGGGCGCCCAGCTAGCGGTCGAGAACGGAGTGCTGACAGGTGTGTGGCGTGGGCGGGCCGGGACGTGAGGCGGGACCCGGCCAGTGCGCGGCAGGGGACACGCTCAGCCGAGCCTCGGGAAAGGGCCGCTCGGGGAACCTCTGCGTCCGGCAGCCGTGCAGGCTGGGGACGTGCAAAGCACGCAAGTGCATGCAGATACCATGCAAATGACCGCGAAGACCCCAAAGAAAGCGCACTCTAGCTTCAACCGGAGCAGAGCGTGCGCTCGGGGCGCGGGCTCCCCCGACCCGGGCCTGCACTCTGCGCCCGCAGGAGCCCTGGCACGCTGGGAGGCTGCGGCCTCCGAGACTTCGCGGCTGCTGGCGGAGGCGCAGCAACGCGCAGGCGCAGCCGAGGCAGAAGGCGAGGCCTGCACTGCCCGCGAGGTGGCGCTCCAAGAGCACCTGTAAGTAAGAGGCGGGCGCGCGGGGGCAGACGGACGGGACGTAGAGCCAATAACTGAAGCTCCTCGTTCTCTCGGCCAATCAGCACTTTAGGCGTGGCTGGGTGGGCGGGGATTTGGGTGTTGCGGGAATAAATTTAGGCTGGTGGGGAACCTCTAAGAGCCCGGGACACCCTGATTGGAACTGGCATTCTGGAGACAAGCACCCCAGGAATCAAGAGCAAATTGGGGCCAAGCCTGGTGGCACGCGCCTGTAATCGCAGTACTTGGGAGGCTGAGGCAGGAGGATTGCCATGACTTCAAGACTATCCTGGGCTACATAGCGAGATGCTGTCTCAAAAAAAATAGAGAAAAGAAAAAAGGGGCTGGGGAGCTGGCTCAGTGGAATAAGCACTTGCCTGGCAAGCGCAGTTGCCTGAGTTCAATCCCCGGTTCCGAAAAAAAAAAAAAAAAAGCAGGGGCTGGCGAGATACCTGAGTGGTCTAAAGCGCCTGCTTAGGCAAGCTTAGGCAAGCATGCAGGGACCTCGGTTGGATCCCCAGCACCACATGCCATGCCAGCCCCGCCCCCAGGGTGGGCTGAGCTGACCATAAAAAAGAAAAAATAATAATAAATAAAGGAAACATTTTTAAAAAATAATAAATCCATTTAAAAAAAAAAAAAAAGCAAGTCGGTGGTCGTGACCCGGGGAAAATTTGGGCGCGGAAAAGCAGACCCCAATAAAAAGGGAGTACTGCGGGAGAGGTCGATGCTTGGGGTCCCAGGACGGGGTGGGCAGGGCAAGGGCTCCCGGGGTGCAGCTCCAGGGCCAGGGCCCTCTGCTGACGCGCCCTTCCCGCAGCTCCGCCCTGGAGGCCTCGCTGGGCGCCCCGCGCCGAGGACCCTCACCCCGCTCCGGGTCGCGATCCCGCTCCCGGCCGCGCACTCGGCCCGGGCCCTCTTCGGGCTGCCGGCGGTCAACGCGGCGCCTGCGGGGCTGAGCGCCGGAACCATGCGGGGGCCCCGCAGGGACAGGCTCCAGCGCGGCTGCACCGGATGGCGCCCACGCTCCGCCCAGGCCGCCCGCGCCCTGAAGAAGACTCGGCGCCCCCTCCCCCGCCATGCGCCCCTCGCCCCCCAGCCTGCCAAAGAGACCCCCGAACTCCACCGCGAGCCAGGGCGCGGCGAGGCTGATCCCGGAAGAAGTGATCCGCGCACCGGGGACCAAGAAACGAGGCGCGCGCGGGGCATCGCAGCGCTCGGGCAGGAGCGTCGCAGCGGGCTGGAGGCCGGCCTGGGCTGGGGGCCGTGTCCCCACTCACGCACGCACACATCGCGTACGCACGCCTGTTCAAATGTGTGTCTGTCCCTCTGTGGAATGCAATATTAGTCAACAGTTCAAAAGGCCAGAGAAGCGCGCTCCCGGATGCAGCACGTGAAAGGCCAGGAGCGGTCCCGTCCCGCAGTAACCGGCAGCCCGCGCGGCGGGCGCCGGAGGCCTTGGCAGCTTGCGGCAGGGGCCGGGTCATCCGCCAGGCTCCGACCGGGGGACGCGGGCTCAAGGTGGCGGGAGACTGCCTCGCGTTTCTGCAGAGCTTTTTTTGTATTATTTTTATACAATTTGCATTTTTTGAAAAGTCGGAACACTCGCATTGCCTTTTGAAAATAAAAATTTTAAAACTTCCTGAGAGACAGGCGTGGGGAGGGTACCCTGCTGTCTGTCCTGTCTGGGGTCCCCCACCTGCCTGGGACCTGGGGTGCCTGGTCCGGTCCCTGAGCTTACTTGAGGGGGCTCGGAGGTGGTTGGGGAAAGAGAAAGGTGGGATAAAAGAAAGAGCGGCAGAGACAGAGAGAGGGGAAGGGAAGGGAAAAGGGAAGAAAAAAGAAACGAGTCTGGTACAGGGTACCTGCGGCAAATGCCGTTCCTAGCGTGGCCGCCAGGGGCCGCCTCAGCCCGCAGACCCGGAGGGGGAAGGCTCCCGGGCTCCCACAGCGCGGCCCCTGCCACGATCTGCTCGGCCCTGGCCCGCCGTGGGATCCTGGAGATCCGGGTGGGCTTCAGGGCAGTGGAGTTACACCCGAGCTCAGCCCATGGAGGTGCGGCATCAGAGTCGTGAGGACCTTGGCGACCCAGAGCAGGGCCCCACTCAGGGAGCCCAGGCAGGGGCCTGCGCCCTCCTTCCTCGGCCTTTTTTTTTTTTTTTTTTTTGCGGTACCAGGCATTGAGCTCAGGACCCTGCGCTTGGCAGGCAAGCGCTTATTCCACTGAGCTATCTCCCCGGGCCCTGCCTCGGCCTCTTATGCCTATTCGTTCTTTGTCCTCAGGCAAGCACTGAGCCCCAGTTCCCTCAGTGAGTCTCTATCTCTGTCTCTCCTTTTTGGGAGTAGTGGCGACCAAACCCAGGGATAGTCTACAACGGAGCTACACCCCTTGCCCCCACTTCCCCACCAGGTCTTTATAAATTGCCTAGACAGGATTGAAAATCCAGACCGCCTTCCTCAGCCCCCACAGCACTAGAATTACAGGCATGCACCACCAGGCGAGGCTCTGAGGGGCTGTTTTTGTCTCTGTTCTCTCTTGCCTCCCTCTGTTTTTGTTGTTTTGCTTCTTTTTTTATTTGCGCTTATTTTATGCTTAATTTCTTCCCGTGCCCTAAGTATTGTTTCTTCAGTTGCTTCTGGGCTTTTTCTTCCGTGCAACCTCCTTCGCTGGTTTGGGGACAGTTCGTTCCTTTCCATCGAGATCATCTCCGTGTGGCAGGGGAGCTCAGGGACGGGTTGATCCGGCCACGAGCTCTGTAAGTACGGCGGGCGGCGCGTATCGGGTGCTTTGTTCACCTGGATGTGGTCAATGACCTGAGAAGCTACATCTAAACCCTTAAGCTCGGCGTCAGTCCCTGCGTTTTCCAGCATGTGCAGCAAAACTTCAGCCCTCTTTCTGGGCCCCTGACCCTGCGTCCAGCCCCACTGTTTGGGCTGAGCACACCTACTACCTCCACCACTGTAATACCGGAATGGCGCTTTGCTTCTTTAATGTGACACCCTTCAGACACTTGGTGGCCTTTCGGATATGCAGACCCTTGATGGCCTGGACAGTTTCACGCGTGTTCTTAAAGTGAGCGCGAAGATCTGAGCCTCTTGATTTGCATGATTTTGTGGGGTTTTCAGGGTCGAGAGTAGCAGGCCATTTTCACAGGTCACCTCAGGCCACTCACAGGAAGGGCCGCTTTGTTTTTTGAGACACGAGTCTCACTATACACCCCGCGCTGCCCGATACCTTGTGCAGGCCCTCCTGCCTCAGCCTCAAGGGATGACAGACCTGGTTCTGCGCGGGTCTTTATCTGTCTCCTGTCTCCCGCAGCCCTCCCCATCCAGCTCTGCTGTTCAGGTCCACCCGACACACAGAAGCCAGAACAGAGCGCTTGGAACCTCGGGAGGTATCATTACCCCAACAGCCTCGGAGCCGGCTGCGGTGGCCCACAAGGGTCATCCCAGCACCCTGGAGGCTGAGGCAGGAGGATCGCAAGTCCCAGCCCAGTCTGAGCAGCTTGATAACTTACTGTGACCCTGTCTCAAACTGTGGAGTAAGGCCCTGGTTCTGCCCAGCACTGGAATAAACAAAGCTGGCCCAGGGCCCGGGGGGACTTTATATGCCCTCTCCAAGAGGCCTTCAGCTGTCATTTTCCAGAGAGTGACACTAGTTGACTTCCTCAAGCCAGCCTCCCCTCCCCATCTCACAAACAACTCACTCAAATTGATTGTTTTCCATTTAGAAAAAATGCACTGGGAAGAGGGGGGCAAGTGTGACTCTGATGACCTCCAGGGGAAGAGAGGCTCCACGGCAGAATTTCCTGTGACTGTGACAAATGGCTTTCAGGAAAAAACCTGCGCTGGCTCAGGCGCCGGCCTCAAATGGTGTGAACGCCGAGCCTGCCCTCCCAACGCCCCAGGAGACATAGGGAGGACACAGCCAAGACTGTTTCGGGAGACTCAGACCCTGCTGGCAGGGCTTCGGGTCACGCAAGTGCTGAAGCCCATGTTGGCGACCGCCACCAGAACAGAAGAAGTGCCCATCACGAGGAAAGCACCGGCCCTGAGCCACGCCCCAGCCCTTCCAGATAATTTTTTTCACTTTGAGACAGTCTCACCAAATTACCGCATTGCCCAGGCAGGGCCCAACTGGCCATGCTCCTGCCTCAGCCTCCAGGGTGCTGGGATGACCCGTGCGTGGGGCCAGTCCTGACTCAGACCTGATTTTGAATCTTTCCTTGTTGGGAGGACAGTTAGAAACTAGCTAGATATCCACCTGCAATTGCTGTAGCAAAGGAAGTGAAACTCAGCAGGCAAAGGAGCCACCAGATCCCGTGTGGGGTGCAGCTCAGTGGCCAGCTCTCGACCGAGTGTGCAAGGTCCTGGACTCCAACGGGCACTGACAAAGGAGAAGGATGATGGGAAATCGGGCACTCTCAGAGGCACGATGCTGAGCAAGCATAGCCAGGCTCAGCGATAGCTTGTTAATACAAAAACCTAGTAGAGTTACTCTGCCAGGTATGGTGCACACCTGCAGTCCAAGCTGCTCAGAAGGCTGAGGCAGGAGGACTCAAGTTTGAGCTCAGCCTGGGTCATCCAGCATGGGGCTCAGGTCCTGGGGCCCAGCAGGGCTAAGTTCCTCAGAGCAAGCTCAGAGTCAGCCATGGCATTCCAGAGGGGAGATGGCACATGCTCCGCATGTCATACATGGCACCAACTCTGCCCCTCCAGTGTGACAGTGCCCGAGCCGCAGCGGGTCCTCCCAGGCAACTTCCCAGAAGACTTTGGTCACCTGTCCCTTCTGTGTCACCTTGATGTTCACACGCACACACGGGCACCTCCTGGAGTCCAAGCACACTCTGGGCTGGCACAGGCCATGCCAGCCTGCACAGCAGCCTTCCTGTGTCCCCATCACTCAGGCAGCACAGATGCCGGGCATGGCTTTCCACAGCCACAGTGTATCTGTGCCCCTAAACGTCACCATTGGCTGATGCCAAGTGTGGCCCTGCCAGACTCCAGCAATAAGGGGTGACCGAAATGTACAGTGAACATAATGCTGATCACAGTGACCCAGGCATGGTGGCACAGGCCTGTGATCCCAGCATTCAGGAGGCTGAGGCAGAAGAATCATTGCGAGTTGATGGCCAGCTTGGGCTACAAAGTGAGCTCAAGGCCAGCCTGAACTGCACAGTGAGACCCTGTCTGAACAAACAAAGAGGGAAGAAGGAGGAGGAGGGGGAGGAGGAGGAGGGGGAGAGGAGGAGGAGGAAGAAGAGGAGGAAGAAGCAGCAGCAGCATTATTGAGGAAGTCTTTTGAGGAAGCTCATGCCTGGCAGTGGGGCTTCGAAGGGAAGGCCTTTGGTCACATTTGTGCACACTGCATGTTTCAGGCATGTTCTGCGCTTGCTTCCTCTTTACACAGCACCCAGCTGGAGCAGAGGACCTCCAAGCCTGGGGTCCACCTGGGGGTGACACAGTGCCCCACCTGTCACCCAGCCCCAGTGCTCCTGGCCAACCCGACATGCGGCTGGTTGGGCGCCGACCCCAGCCCCTCTGAGCAGGAATCGCTGGGTGGCTGCAGGGCAAAGGTCACCCAGGGGTTTCCTGCCACCCTGGGAACTTCCTCCTTCCCTGCCCAGCATGCTGGGGGTGGCACCAGGACCCTCCCAGCTGGACCCCCACCCACCTCCAGGAGATGGACGCAGGGTCCCACACCCGCTGTGCCCATGGGTAGGGACAGCCATAAGCAATGTCACCCGGCCCTGCCAGGAGCCGAGTCTGGTCCCTCCAGACAGCCTGCCCTGGGCGCTGCAGGCTTTCTCACTGTCCCCCACCCAAGATCAGCAGCAGCTGATAGCCCAGGCTGGACCCTTGAAGACCCTGCACCCCACTGTGGAGCAAGCAGAGATTCCAGGACATTCCCAAACCCCTGGGGAGGTCATGCCCAGAATCCTTTGCTCTTGGTCACTTGAGGATGGGCCTGGGGTGACCCCAAAACACAGGGGTGGAGGTGGAACGGGAGCCTCCCCAGGGCCACACGAAGCCCCAAACAGGTGAGGGAGGAATGACGACAAAGCACCCTGCACAGAGCTTGCCTCACCTCACCAGGGAAACTGAGGCGTGCACAGCCAAGACCCCATCTGAGCATATAGGGCCCCAGCTCCCAAGCCCCAAGCTCTTGCTCCAGAGTGGCCTGTTCACTCCTGTTCAGTCCTGGGGACAGTGCTTAGGCCCCAACAGCAGTGCATCCCCAGTCCTCCCCCACTCTTTTTAAACCGTCTCCTAACTTGACTGGGCTGGACTCAAACTGGAGACCCTCTTGTCTCAGCCTCCCCAGTCCCAGAGTTCTGAGCATCTACAGCCAAGTGTGGCCCTGAGCAAGTATGGAGCACCTAGATGAACGGGAAGGAGTGGCAGTCAGTGCTGCGGCGCCACCCACGCCTGCAGCCACCACGCGGTCCAGCGCCTGCCAGCTGCCCACCCCGGGCGATGCCCCAGCCTGGCCCGCACGGGTGGCACCAGCCTGCCAGGACAGAAGCTTCTCCCGCGCCCCTGTTCTCCGTGGCAATGAGGCCAAGACTATTAACCTAGATCACGGCCGTCCCAAAGGCCGGATGCGGTGGTGTGCGCCTTGCCATCCCGGCACTGGGGAAGCTGAGGCAGGAGGATCGCTGTGGGTGTGAGGCCACCGTGGGCTGGCTACAGAGCGAGACGCCGAGCCGGCTCAGAGACACAAAGAGCAACAAAGGAAAGCAAGTGGAGAGCGGCGGCCCCGGGCTGCGGCGGGCGGGCGGGCGGGGCGCGAGCCCGGCTTCCTCCCTTCCAGGAAGCGCGGGGCGCGGCCGGGCTATAAAGGCGCGCGGGCGGCCGGCGGCCCGGAGCTGCGATGGGCCTGGCCATGCAAGCCGGGGCGCCCTACACGCGCGCGGGCGGCGCGGCGCGCGGCTGCTGGTACTACCTGCGCTACTTCTTCCTCTTCGCCTCGCTCATCCAGCTGCTCATCATCGCGGGGCTGGTGCTCTTCATGGTCTACGGCAACGTGCACCACGGCACTGAAGCCAACCTGCAGGACACCGAGCGCCGCGCCGCCGCGCTGCACGCGCAGGTCGTGGCGCTGGAGGCCACGCGGGCCAACCTCACGCGCGAGCTCAACGTCACGGCGCGCGCCAAGGACGCGATCATGCAGATGCTGCTGGGCGCGCGCCGCGACCTGGACGGCCTCAACGCCAGCTTCCGCCAGTGCCAGACGGACCGGGTGAGCGCCCCGGCCGCGGGTCGCGAGGCAGGGTTACTCCGCGCAGCCCTGGGGAGGCCTCGAGTGCCTCCCCAGCGCAGGGGTGACAGGCGTGCGCGCACACCCGACTTGGCCAGCCCCTCTAACAAAAAATTAGCCCTTGCCTGCTTCCAAGTCCTATAATTTTTTTTTTTTAAAAGGTGATTTATAAAGATGGCTTTAGGTCTAAGCGTGGTGGTGCACGCAGGTAGCGCTAGCACTTAGGAGGCTGAGGCAGGAGGATGTTGGTTGCAGGGTGGAGGTCAGCCTGGGCTACATAGTGAGACCTTGTCCAAAACAAGCAAAAATCCCAGAGGTTTAGCACGACCACCCTGAGCTGTGTAGAGTCCCCAGGTGGGCCGCCTGTTCTGTGAGACCACTCCTCAAAAAGGGGGAGAAGCCGGACCACCGCACTCAGAAGGCTGAGGCAGGAGGATCACCATGAGTTGAAGGCCAGTGTGAACTAATAATAAGACCGTGTCTAAGAAATACAAAGTGACAGACAGACGGAGGACGGTCAGACAGACAGACAGACAGAATGTAGGTTTCGTTAGTGTTTGGGCAGGGTGCTAAGGCGGAAGCCTGGATCCTAACCAGCCAGTCCTGCACGACCCCATGGGACCTAGTTTCCAACCCACCGCCCTTAGGCACTGAGCCCCCAGCACTATTGCCCAGATTCGGGCTGAATGGGGCACCTGGTGCAAAAGGGCAGTCAGAGGCAGCGAACTGAGGAACACAAGCACCCGTGGCAGGTGTGGCTGGCCACAGAGGGTGGGCTTCGGGGACCTCAGCCTCAGCCCAGCTGCGACAGGGGGAGGCACTGCGTTCCCTCCCAGCACCCGCGGTGGGTCGCACTGTAACCTCAACTACTTGGGAGGCTGAGCAGGAGGATTCCAAGTCTGAGGCAGCTTATGATCCTAGGTCAAAAATATATATATATATATTGTTGTAACTCAAAAATGAGGCAGGCTCAAAAGTTTAAAAAGCGCTTTATTTTAGCTGGTACCCAGCGGCAACACTCGGCACAAAGTGCCTAATTGTGTGCCGAAGGGAGGGAGCGTGGGGTTTATAAAGCTTAAAACCGCAAAGCAGGCGGAGGACAACTAGGGGAGTTTAAGGAGATACAGCAGCTGTTGAGACTAGATAAGGTTAGAGGTCTGGAGAGGCTCTTGGAATTTAAGGGTGTAGGAACAGCAGTGGACATTTTGGGGGCTCAAGGGTGGGGTGAGGGCTTGCGGAAACAGAAGTTCTCTGAGATAGGCACACATGTTACAGCAGCTGACAGGGCTCACTAAGACTGGCGCCTGCAGAGCAGGCTGGCGGCGCTTTGGTCAGGTTGTAACGTATATAGGTAAGGATCAGGGACTAGCTCGGTGCTCTCCAGGCTCAGGCTCCAGTAGGTGCGTGTGCGCACGTGCACACATGCACACACACACACACACACACACACACACACAGAGGCACGCCTGTGGTGACGCGTTCGCGCCCGTCTTGCGTTCTGCTCGAGTCTGCCTTCAATCAGGACAGGAGGCAGGAGGACCACCATGAGCTGAAGACCGGTGTGAACTGTATAAGACTGTCTAAGAAATACAAAAGAAAGAGACAGAGAGAATGTAAAGGTTTCTTGGGCCGGGGAGATGGCTCCGGGGAATGGGCGCTTCCCTGGCAAGCGCAAGGGCCTGAGTTCAATCCCAGGTTGGGGGGGGGGGAGCTAAAAAAGAATGTAAAGGTTTCTTTAGTGTTTAGCCAGGGTGCTGAGGCAGGGGCCGGGGTCCCACTGGCCTGATGCAAAGGAAGGCGCTGCCTGGTGGCCTCAGCCATGGGGCAGGGCCAGGCGGCAGGCAGGATGAGGCAGACAGGAAGGAAATGCTCCAGATGCCCCAACCTCAGGTCCCCTTGGGCCCCAGTGCCTCTCGGCCAGGGTCTGCCCTCACCCTAGAGCAGGGGGGTTGCCCAGACCCCCAACCCCTGAGACCCCAGAATGAAGGTCCCTTTAAGACCCCCCAGAGGATCAGGGAGGCTGAGGCAGGAGGGATCACATGCTCCAGCCCAGCCTAGGCAACTTAGTGACTTAGTAGTTTTTAAGTTTGAAAATTCCAGAATTGGGTCTGGGAACCAATTGGGTCTTCTGCACCAAGGCCCTGGTTCTGTCCAGACCCAGAGGACCAGAGTCTGTGTCACTTTGGGTCATAGCAGCTCCCAGAATCTCCACCCTGGGAATGGCCCATTAGGATTCCAGGGTGCACTGGGCCTACCCTGGGGTTGCTGTGTCTTAGACTCTCACGTACACCCCAGAGCCCTGGAGACTCAAGCGCCGGGCCACAGGGCCAGGACCGCACTTGGCTTTGTGTTTGAAACGGGGTTCTGCTAAGTCACCAGGCTGGCCTCAAAGTCAGGATCTTCCTGAGCATCTTGGGATTACAAGTGTGCGCCATCGTGCTTGCCCAGTTTGTTGGCGTTTTTTTGGTCTGGATAGGCCCACCTTAAGGGCGGGTCTGTTGTGGCATGTGGTGCTGGGGATCCAACAGCCGTCCCCTGTGCCTGACTGAGTTTGCTCAAGCAGGCACTTAGACAACTGAGCTATCCCGCCAGCCCCCAGATTTCTACTTTAAACAGATGTTTTTTACTTATTTATCCGTGCTGGGATGGGACCGGGACCTTGTGCCCAGCGAGTGGCTGTTGGGACGACTGCATTACATCTCCAGCCAGATCCTACAATTTTCAAACTCAATCTTTGAAAAATCCTAGTGGAGTCCCCCACCCCCTACTCCTGTGTTTTTCTTTTTCTTTTTTCTTTTTTTCCCCTTTGGGATGACAGATTCCTCTGGCTGGCATTCCCTGAGAGGTCAGAGGCACTGGGGCCCCTCGGATCACAGGCTGCCCTCCACTGGTGCCCCTCAGGTCACAGGCTGCCCCCCCACTGGGGCCCCTGGGTCACAGGCTGCTCCCCCTCCCTGGGAGGGTAGCACTGCTGATGCCAGCCAGGGGTCCCCACTCCACCCTGGTGGCATCAAGGAATGTAGGGTTGTTTTTATCTTTTTGAGACAGGGTCTCACCGTGCAGTTCAAGCTGGCCTTGAGCTCATTTTTACTTTTTTAAATTTATTTTGTACAGGGCCTACAGGGTCTCACTACACAGATCAGACTTGTAGTGATCCTCCTGTTTTCAGCCTCCCAAGCACTGGGATTACAGGTGCGTGCCACGATGTCTAGTCTCGTGTGTCAGAGTGCTCCGGGGACGGGGCTGGCACAGCACCCTGGGGATCAAACCCCAGTACCTGGGTCTGCCTAAGCAGGCGCTTTAATCTGCTGAGCTATTTGGCCACTTGAGCTCACTTTTTAGCCCAGCCTTGGCTCAAACTTATGATGCTCCTGCCCCAGCCTCACAGACAGCTGGGATGACAGGCTTGTGTTACCTGGCCCAGTTAGTGGCTAAGGTTCCCAGGGGATATCTGTCCTCTCCACTGTCCCCTGGACCTAGCCCAGGGCAGTTTTGAAAGGAGGGGTGAGGGCCACAGTGGGGCCGCAACGTCTTCCTTCCGTGGCTCTGGCCTCTGCTCCACAGTGTCATGTGCAGCCTGACCAGGGACCATGCCCGCTAGTTCCCCCAAAGTGATCCGATTTTGCAACAGAGTAACAAAAGGCACCACATGAAGGGTACACACACCAGCACAGTCCACGCCCAAGGAAGCCCTCCCTGCAGCCATCCCTCCCGCCTGACACCCCCGAGGTTGGCACCCACTGCCTGTCCCTGTGGGTCACGTGTTCTAGCTGTTCCCTGTCTGGGACACCCAGTCCCCTCTGTGCCTGCCACTGTCACTCAGCATCTTTAGGGCTAATCTGCCTTCCAGTGTGTGTCACAGCACTGTTCCTTTCCACAGCTAGGTAGTATTCCAGTGCACTGTGTTTTTCCATTTGTCTGCCAAGTATCTGGGCTATTTCCATCTCTCAGTCACTCACTGTGTGGTGTGGTGGTGGACACTGGGCCACAGGTCTCTTGTGGACATGTTTATCTCTTTGGAATCAATACGAAGAAGGAGATAGAAGAGTCCCATGGTAACTGTTTAATAATTTGAGGAGCTGCCAGACTTCGATTTTTACTGTTTTGCACTTTGGGATAACATCTCCATATATAGTCCAGGCTGGCCTCACACCTGTGGCAGTCCTCCTGCCTCAGCCTCCTGAGTGCTGGGGTGACCTGTGTGTGGTACCCTACCTGGTTCTTTTTTTTTTTTTTAATTATTTATTTATTTGTGTGTGTGTGTGTGTGTGTGTGTGTGTGTGTGTGGCCAGCTCAGCCCACCAGGGGGCGGGGCTGGCTGGCATGTGGTGCTGGGGGGATTGAACCCCGGTCCCTGTGCTTTGCTAAGCTTGTTCTAAGTAGGTGCTTTAGACCACTGAGCCATCTCACCAGCCCCCTACCTGGTTCTTGATGGAATCCTTTGATGCTGAAAGGGTTTTTGTTGTTGTTGTTGTTTTCCTTTTGAGACAGGGTCTTTCTGTTCGCTATTAGTCCAGGCTGGCCTTCACTTCACTTTGTAGCCCAGATTGGTCTCAAACTCACAACCATCCTCCTGCCTCAGCCTCCCGAGTGCTGGGATGACAGGCGTGAGCCACCATGGCTGGCCAAAGCAGAAAGGGTTTTAATGCTGATGAACCCAGTGCTGGGCCAGGGAGATGGCTCAGTAGAATAAGCGCTTGCCTGGCAAGTTCAAGGGCCTGAGTTCAATCCCCAGTTCTGCAAAAAAAAAAAAAAAAAAAAAAAGCCAGTGTTTCTGTGTTCTTCCCTGGAGTGTAGGGCTGGCACATCTGCAGGTCCAAGGCAGACCTTAGGTCATTCCGACTTAACACCCATCGAGTATCTGAAGATTTGGGCTCTAGTATTTAGGTCTCTGGCTTTCTTCTCCCAGTGCTGGGATTTGAACTCCTGGCGCAAGGGTGTTAGGTGAGCAGGCCACCAGCGCCACCTGCAGCTCTGCCTTGAGCCGCTTGGAGTCATTGTCACTGCTGCGAGGCTGCCCATGCACACCTGGCTACACTGCACCCTGCAGAAGGCAGAGCGTCTCTGCACCTGGACTCCTCTGTGGCTGCGGCAGCGGCAGGTGAACCAAGGTCCCGTGATGGGATTCCTTTTCTCCAGCTCCAGAAGCAGTAGGCAGGGGCTGGGCTTGCACTTGGCACTAGAGCATGTGCCTAGCAGTGCAAGGCACAGTCCCCAGGGGCACAGACAAGAAAATAGCCTCAAAGTAAAATTCAAAAGAACAGCCAGGCACAGGACCACGCCTCTACACTCCAGAGGCTGAGAGGCAGGAGGGTCACAAGTTCAAGACCAGGGCAGGGGCTGGTGAGATGGCTTAGTGGTCTAAAGCACCTACTCAGAACAAGCTTAGCAAAGCACAGGGACCGTGGTTCAA